TGGCTGGATCTAGCTCTCATCTCACAGCCTCCCCTAGTTGATCAGTGTTCTCTCCTCAATGAATTACCCACTACCTGTCATTGTTGCAGGATGAGGTAGAGGGAAATAGCTGCATCTGGGGATAGTGTGACAGGGCAGGTTCCTCCCTTTTTAGGAAACACTGTGCACATATTAGCCTTATCGACTGATGCTGGAATGGCCGTTGCCACGGCAGCAGAGCACTCCCACTGCAGAAGAGGATGGTGGGAAATTCAGGGATATGAAAGGAATAGAAAAAGGAGCAAGATAAAGGGAGAGGTCATATTAGGAAGTGTTGGAACATTCTGGATGCCATGATGTCTATTTTAAGGGCTCACTACCTAGTCATGGCAAGACCCTTTAAAGACTGACCGGGCAAAGGCCAGCAGTACTATAAGGGCTGGTGCTCAAGGGGGCTGTGACTGAGTTAACTCGTGACTTTGCAGAGACAGTATTCCTTTTTTCTTTTGTGCTGATACTAGGGCTTGAACCCTTAGCTTTTTCACTCAAGGCCGGAGCTCTATCTCTTGAGCCACACCTCAACTTCTAGCTTTTTAGTGGTGAACTGGAGGTAAGAGTCTCACAGACTTTTCTATCTGGGCTGGCTTTAATCCATGATCCTCAGGTCTCAACCTCCTGAGTAGCTAGGATTACAGGCCTGAGCTACCAGTGCCTAGCTGGGAGTATTTTCTGTTGTTTCACTGTCAGGGGACAGTGTATACAGGAGGATATGAGGTGGTAGCTTTAGATGATAGAGAGGATTGTGCCTCGCTTCTAAGCAACCTTCTTTTCTCAAAACCAGTAGATTTTCAGGAACTATTTATTGGTAGAAGGAAAAGGATTGGGATTTGGGGAATATAAAATCCCAGGAGAGGGGGTCTAGAAGAATAAAGAAATACAGAGAGGAAGAGGAACTAGGCAGAAACAGGCTGTATTGAGAGGATGAGCCAACCAGCAAGGAAGGTCCTAGAAACAGTGAGCATCTGACAACAAGGAAGTGCAGGTGGACAGAGCATCAAGTGGAACCGTGTTTTCTAGCAACTCTAAGGTCTTGAACCTACATCTGTGGACAGCAGAAACAAAGAGCCAGAATAAGCCAGGGAAGAGAGTACCAGGTCTTGCCTGAGTAGAATGCTCTCCAGCAGTGTTCCTCATCCAAGATGGTATCCAGTTCATTTCCTTTTGCCAAGGAGGAGATGAATTTATATGCAGGAAGAGAACCTACAGGCAAGTAACACCATGTCACTATAACACGGCAAATTCAGACACCATGAGAATTCAGCAATTCCTAATGTGATATCTTTAAAAAATATTTTTATCTTCAAGTAATTGTACAAAGGAGTTGCCATCCAGCAAAGCAGTTCATGGATACAGTGCCTCTTGGTCCATGTTGCCCTTTTAAAATTCTCATCCATTCGTCTCAACCCATTCCTGCCCTCATTTTTCTTAATTTTGTAGGCTGTGCATTGAATTTTGAGGCATCCGTGTGGTTGAATTAAGGGCACTTTGTATAAATTAGAGAATGACCGAAGAATAAGGACTTTAGGTGTTTTATAAGCTACCACTCTGGAGGCTAAAGTAGGAAGCTCTGGAATTTGAGGCTAGCCTGGACTATAGAGTAAAACCTTGTTTTGTCAAGTACAAAACAAGCCAGTGTTGGTGGCTCACGCCTATAATCCTAGCTACTCAGGAGGCTGAGATCTGAGGGTCACTGTTCAAAAGCCACCCGGGGTAGGAAAGTCTGTGGGATTCTTATCTCCACTAAATTACCAGAAGAGCAGGAAGTAGAGCTGTGGCTCAAGTGGTAGAGCGCTAACCTTGAGCAAAAGAAACTCAGGGACAGTACCCAGGTCCTGAGTTCAAGCCCCTATACTGGTACACACACCCAAAACAAACAAACAAAAAATCAACCAAGTTGGAGCTTGTGACTCAGAGCTGTAATATAGCTGAGTTCTGGGGATCATAGATCAAAGCTAGCCCAGGCAAATCCAAAATCTCTTGTCAACCACGGGGGGCGGGTGAGGGGGGAGCCACAAGTAAGCTATGGCTCGAATGATAAGAGTGCCAGCCTCAAGTGAAAAAAGCTAACAGAGAGCACCTAAGTCTTGAGTTTGGACCCCAATACTAGCACACATAATAAAAGATGATGGTTTGTGACATTATTAAAAGTGGCCAGTGGGATAGTGAGGAAGAACACAGTTGTGCTTTAAAATGTGGTAACAAAGGTAGGGCTTAATTCATTTTTTGAAATGGGATCTGTGCTTTCTGCATAACCATGAATATTCATAAGTCCCATGATTGGTGTTCTCTATGCAGGGCCAAGTTCTGGCATGCTACCATTTACATACCTTTAAGGAGCTCCTTGATACTTCCTATGTGACTTGGAACCCTGGTTCTCCTAAGGTTTGGACCCAGGCCTCTGAGGACAGCCTGCCTAGACAGCCACACTGCCTGCTGATTAATCTTTGTACCCAGCTCCCTTCCTCCACAAATTTTGAGACAGTGCTTCTTGTCATTCCTGTGATTAGAATACACACGCCCATGCCTGTCTATCCTCCATCAATGTGTGTGACATTACATTCTCACAGGGACAGGGCTATTATTTCCCCAAGTCTTGTCTACTTTGCATTCTCTGTCTGACACTGAGTTCCTTGAAGGCAGAATCTCTATCTTTGTAACTCTAAGACCAGCCTGGGGTCCATGTTTCTTACCTAACCCTCTCTGTTTGAGGATCTGAGTTCTCAGTAGAATGGAAGTGCATCCTCTCTGCTATGATGTCTGTCCTTGAAGACTTTATGGTGTCCGAGCCAGCCCTGGGGTCACAAGAGGCAGAAAGTCTCCAGATACTGTCAGGAGTAACGCAGGCTACAAGCCCAGTGCCCAGCAGCTCAAGCCTTTGAATCTACTCTGCCATCACACCTGCTTCGTGCAAGTACAGAGACAATTCCATGATGTGAGAGTTCCTGAGCTGGTACTAGAGACAGATAGGTACAAGACACGCATGAGACTTAATGCACTTCAGATTCTATAGGGAAGGAGAGAAGGGACTAGAAAGATGGAGTTTGAGGATAGGGGAGAATGCAATCTGATGGATATACCACGTTTTGGCAGAGTTCCTAGGGCTCTACCATTCCCAATGGGTACCTGGAGCCTGTCCTTCCCGAAGCAAGCTTGCTTTCAGAAACTACTCTCTACTCTCTCTTGTCCCTCATCTTTCCTGAAAGCCTTTGGCTCAGACAACCTGGCACTGTCCAGGAAGTCAGGCAGTGCTGTGCCCTCTGCTGAGGCAAAGTCTGGGCAAAATGCTGAATACTCCATCTAGCTCTTGCCCCTGCCCGACTCCATCTCCAGGTAGGAGGGGAGGAAGGAGAGCTGGGAAAGTATGGAGTTTTGTTTTTTGTTTGTTTGTTTTAACAGAGCTGAAGGTCTGGCAGGCAAGGGAGTAAGGGTGGGTTAGTTTGACACAGGGCTCTCTAGCTCCAGCACCTCTCTCCTAGGAAGCTGGTATGATAATCACTGTAAGGACCGAGTTCAGTAACTTTGACAAGGTCATATATTTGACTGTGATGGAAATCGAGTCTCCTAAGCGTAAGGGTTAGTTCCCGTGTCTCCAGACCAGGAACTGTTCCCTGCTGCCTACCTAGTGCATCCACACAACCTCACACCTCAGAGACTGAAGGAAGGTAGGGTGAGGTTTCCTGGGGGTGGGGGGTGGAGGCGCGACCAAGGGGTTCTGGGGAAGAGACTGAGAACTTCCCCACCATCGGGTCCCCTAGTCCCTACCAGCTCCCCTTTCCACTGTATTGCCAAACTGGCCTGCCCCATTTCCTCCCGTTTACCTGAAACCCCGAATCTCCTCAATGATCCTGGATGCCGCAGGGAACAACCCACCGTGTCCCCCACCCCCACCCCACCCTACCTCTGCGCCAAGAGAAAACCCGGTGGGATGCCCTAAATGCTCCCTGCCCCTGGGGCTCGCTCGCCGTTACCTCCCCTTCCCCAGCCAGAAATAGACACGTTCTCGGCCCCCTCCCCGGCACACGCTCCTCCCCCGCCCCCTCCCCCCTCCCACCCGCTCCCCGCCCCCCTCCCCTCCTTCCTAGCTGCTCGGAGCTGCAGAGCGCCGCGTCCGCTCGAGCTGGAGGCAGACGAGGGGCGGCCAGGGCGCTGCCCGCGGAGCCGCCAAGGCCCGGCGGCCGGGGCCCGGGGACCAGGCACCGACGCACGCCCGGCTTCGATGGAGCTCTTGGGGAGGGGGGGTCATCCATCTTTCCTTGGACTGATTGAAATGTTTTAATTTGTGTTTTTCCCCCGCCCCGCCCCTTCTCCTCCGACCCTGCCCCATCACGCCCGCCGTTTCCTGGCTTTTTCCCGGTCTCCCCCCCTCTCCCCGGCTTCCTTCCCTGCGTCCTTCCTCCCACCCCCCCCACTCCCTCCCCACCGGCGCCCTTCGCTGCTCGTCTCTCGCCTCCTTTTTCCTTTTCTCCCCTTCTTGCTCGGTTTCTCCCGTCCTTTCTTCCCCCC